CAGCGATCAGTCCGTCTAATCGTCGCCACTTTAGGTACGCATCTTAAAATGTATACAGCACCTCACCCAAGACTCTTCCTACGTGTCCTCCTTCTTCTTGCAAGATCTGACTAATGGCGTGTGGTGTGAGAGGAGCCATCAGGTAATCGATTTCTCAGTATCTCCCTCAGTACTTAGTATCGCCTATGTATAGTGTCGATGTACAATTTGTCCAAGCTTCTTTTATATGACTGTTCCACATATAGAAATTTACTATTTACATATGCCATCAGATCTGTATTTTCGGGAAAAATATTTATCGATGGTGGAATATTCCTTCCTGCTTGTCTCTCCACTACTACGATCCTTGAATGTTCGGTCTGCCATGCTTCGATGTTGCATAGCATCTCCTTCCGGGTAATCATTAATGCTATAATTTTCAGCTCCCCTTCGACTACTACAAATTTTTCAGAAGTGAGTCTATTGGAAATCAGTTCTGCTGTACCCTCATATAAAAGACTCACGTGATTATCGCAAGTTGTTGGAAAATCACTGTTCCATACGCTTTTTCCGAATATAGTGTCGAAACAATAACCTCTCATGAACTGACAAGTTATTCCACCCTGCAAGCTGATCTCATTTTCATTTATATTGACTTTCGCCATATAGTCTCTCGCTTCGCAGGTTCCAGTACTATCTACCGACCCTAGTAGCGTTAACGTGGCGCTGGTTGATCCATTCATGGTTATCCGTCCAATATCTTGTTGGTATAGTTTCAATGTTCGGAAACGATGAAGTAATCTGCATTCGTCAGCTCCCAATCTGTCTACATAACTTGATAGTCCTCCTTCCACCAAAGAAGTATGACTATGCATACCACAGTCATAGATACATCAATCTAGTGACTTCTATTAAACAAGTCCGTACGTGCTGATGCCTAATTTCGTTTCGCTGCAATATCTTAACTGAAATGGAGTCGCTCAAATACGTGGATTCTGGTTCTGGACACTTTTTTGCGTCTCTGAGAGATACAGTAGAAATGTTCACTCTCTCATCACTGCAATCGTACATTATCCCGGTTACCGATACAGAATAATGCATGACCAGCAAGATAGCAATAATTAGGAAAATCCAGATCGTGCTGCCTTTTTCCATCTTATTGCCTAAAGCTGACGAAGGATGAGTGGACGCTCCTACCTAGATTGGACCTCGATCATTTGTAATGATGTAAAACAATCAGTACATTCATAAATAAAAAGGCTCATAATAAAATAACTGAAAGTGAGTGAAAACAAAATTCACTTCATAGGTCATCTACTGTCAATCCGGGTCAAAGATAGACACTAGTTTGACAAACACATCAATAATTTAGCTTGAAAGGAGTTAACTCCAGGCTCTTCAAGTAACGGCACTCCTCTAATTTGCTCAAATGCATACTCATCATTATACTTTCTTTCCTGCACACCTCTAGTCATTCATTCACTCGTATCGTACATTCATCTCACTCATTAATTTCACTCTCCATCATTCAGTTCTCATTTACTCATTCACTCAGTTACATTCTCTTACAAGTTCAGTTGATCTGGTTCTCTCCGAATCCGAGCGGATCTCCTCAATAATTGGGGTTCCTCAGTACCTTTCTCTACATCAACATTTTCCTTCTCAATCGCCGCTTCTTCCGAGTGATTTTCGAATTCTATCCACTGGGGAAGAATTGGGATTCTTTTCTCGTTTTCCTCTTCCTTACGTCCATACCTAGACGCCCTCCCAGAACTATTCGTCATCTCCTCATCATCGTCACCATTATTACTTTCCTCAGAATCATCCCCTTCAACAATATAGGTTGAGTATGACTTCAGCCGATTCACGTGTACTTCCTGTTCGTCTGTTCCACCATCCTTCTTCACTCGATAGGTCACTGGACCTATTACCTCTATAACCTTGCATGGACCTATCCAGGGCTTCACGAGTTTCGTTGATATACCAGGCTTAACGTGCATCCACAAGATATACACTTGATTTCCGAGCTCACACGTCCTCTCCTTCGTTTTTTTGTTGTAACGTTTCGCTCGTTCCGAAGCGTAGTTTTCTGCACAGTCGTATCTGATTCGCTGCGGTCGAATGAAGTCTTCCACAGACAACACTTGCTCACGTCCATGCAGAAGGAAGAACGGGGTATATCCGGTGTAAATATGAAGGTTTCCGCGGTAAGCCATCAGTACCACCGGAACCCATGTGTCCCAGTCGCGTTTATTATCTACTACTTAATGTGACAGCATATCTTTCAACACTCGGTGCATCGGTTCAATTTAACCATTCGACGTCGGTGCGTAGCTCGAAGTTTGGATCTTCTTGATATCCAACATTTGACAGACAGCCTTAAATAGGCCAGACGTAAAGTTTGCCCCTTTATCAGTTAGGAGCATCCTAGGGGCTCGCTCCATGTCGGTACACGATGTGTTCCACGAAGGCTCGTGCAATTGTGTCCGCCTTTGGTCTGGAAGGGGATAGCTTCCACGCACTTAAAATAATCTTGGAACGTTAATAGGTAGCGATTCCGCTACCGCACTAAAGGGCCCACTATGTCCATATACGTCAGTCCCCAGGGTTCATAAGCCGTCGTGAACTTTTGAAGAGGTGCCTTTCTATGATGTGAAGTTTTTCGCTTATTGCAAGATTCGCAAGCTGCCACATAATTTGATATTACCGCCCTCATATTCGACCAATAAAATCTCTCAATGTTTATATGAAAGTAGCTGTTTCGAATGGGCTTTTCTTCCAGTTTTTGTGATCTACACATCTTTGAATAGAGATAACTTTTTGAAATTGATTGCTTCCTTCCTTTCTTTTGGAAGATTCCCACATTTTTTTATATGAAGATGGAGAAGTAGAAAGTCGAAATCTTTCTTTCCCAAAAATTAATCTCTTCTAAAAATATACTCCTTTCAGTCTTTTATTTCATACTATGCTTACTTTCATTGACTACCATCTATATAATTATCTAATAGGCAGCCCTCAAAAAGTATAGACAACCCAATGGAAGGATGCTCAGTTGTGCAAATAAATAATAGTTCGTACTGCTCTGTTCTCGATTTACGAATATTGTACATGATTAACTCTTAAGTTATAACGTCTACGGAGCTACTTTGTATTAGATATTTAAATTATGCAGGAAAGCTTGGGTTACAGAGTAAAAAAAGAGTGAACTAATCGAGTAATTCATCAAGAAAATGATTCAGGAACTGTAGTTTTCGAAATTTTAGGAAATAATTAATTACTTGAAAGAAAAAAGTTAATCAAAATACTTCGTCAAAATCAGTGTTGTATTGATCAATTCACAAACGCCATTATTTTCATTCCATAAAGCATATCAAACAACCCAAATTGATGATCACAGCAAATTACACACCGAATTTGAACTTTTTTCTTTTAATTTGTGAAGTCCAATGTGCAACTTTCTCTAATAGGTAAATTATATCGTTGTACCCATTATCTTCCTCTTGAAGATGATCACTTGGTGATCGAAACACGTGTCGAGGTGTAAAAAAAAATAAATAACGATTTGGTGTTGGGAAAAAACTCCAGTAATATTCATTACTACACCAAAGGTTCCAAACAGTACATCATAAATAAGCGCCTTTGTTCAGAAACCATTAATAAAGTCTATGTTATGATCATGGCAAACTGTTGAGATGATGAACGAATGATATGAAGAACAAAAATCCGACATTTTCTTACTGAGAATATGCATAATTTGCTCTTAGTTGAATTGAAGGGGTTATATTTTTAGGAGTGATTAATTTTTGGGAAAGAAAGTTTTTGGCTTTCCACTACTCCATCTGATACAAAAAAAGAGATGAGAGAATCTTCCAAAGAAAGGAAAGAAGTAATCAATTTGAAAATAAGTAACTCTATACATGGATTCTTGCTCTTAGTGTTAATCATTATACTTATAATGTAATATTTGTAATGTCAATTAGAGGAAATACAAATCAGTGCTACAAACTAGTATTGATATTTGGTCAAACTTGTTATATTGTTTCAGAAGACACTTCATATGTTTACATTCATTGAAATAATTCCAGAACTATTAACTTCATAATGCTGATTTCCAGAGTTCAGAGATATATTGACTTCGAACGAAGGATCACAAATTAATGTTTTCAATATATTTGGAAAATATATTTTTCATTTCAGTGGGCACTAATTTTTAGGTTCAACTGATACACTTGACCAATTGACTCACTTTCTCCCAGTTTGGCGTTGCTCAAGTTTTGTACTAGTTTGCAAAGTAAAAAAAATACGTAAATTTTTTTTTACTTATATTTCATTAAAATTGTCATAAACACTTGACAGATAGATATATGGAATCGGCATAAAACTCAAATCAGCAACAAGCTTAGCTTGATATCGACTGCCAAATGAAAAATAACTTTTTGTCAAATGCATGCATTCTTGGGTAAGTGTAACACCACTGATGAAACCTTTGGCAGGTCGAAGCAGCGCTGTTAGGTTTTGAATCAGAATAGTTTTGTTTTATGATTCCAGTCTCATCTAGTTGCCTATGGTTAAAACTGTGGAGATCTCATTCAATGGTCGATGTCGAAGCTTGGCTTTGCAATAGACTGTCGTGGGGACTCCTGTTTATCTTTGATAAGCAAGGTTTGAATTTTGTGTAGATCCTTAAGATTGTTTTTTAAAGAAAGTTGAGTTCAACAGTCATTTCATTGTTCAGCCTAACGTTACTGATGGAGTCTGACCTACTCTACTATAGGTCCAAACAGCATTGTCTGGTGTTAAATCATAAATGATTTATTTCTACGCTTTGATTCTATCTATGAAGCAGATGTTTAAATTTACTATATTAAACTTCATTTTGTAATTATGACACACGTCAAATAGTAGGTATCAATGTATTTAGTTATTGAAGGTAATAATTCTTGTGAAATGAAGACATCATTGGTATAACTTCATTCCAAACATGGTAAATATCTTGAAATATTCAGTGAATTATTTTTCAGGTGTCAGTGTTTGGAATAAAGGTCCCTTGTACCCACGTCATGTGTTCCATATTCTATTTAGGGTATTTTCAAGTTTTTTTGTCATTTCTCGAAAGGCTCAAAATAGGAGGAAGTGGAAAAAATGGCTCAACAGTTGCAGTAAGATCCTCATTATTATTAGCTGTTTGCTTCATGCCTTTTATTTGCTATTGACCATAGTAGTGACAAATTAGTAGTGGAATAGAGTGTCAAGATTGTCAATGCCTGAAAGTTCTAGTAGGTCAAGAGGTACTGCCTTTTTCAATCAAACAGCAAATTACACACCGAATTTGAACTTTTTTCTTTCAATTTGTGAAGTCCAATGTGCAACTTTCTCTAATAGGTAAATTATATCGTTGTACCCAAAAAAATTATTATAATATGAGGCTGTCAATGTACAGTCTGACTTACGTTACAAAGATCTTGTCATTCTGTGAATTTTTGAAGATTGACACAATGCAAGTTTGTGCATTGAATTTAGTACTAATGAAACCCTTGAACCTCGATATGTTGGTGGTGTCTCGCTATACCAATGTAGTAACCCATTTCGATTAATATTATTATAAATACATGTGAGGTCCAAAAGTGTATCTTCTTAAAAACCACTTGCTTTCTCCAGGATTCATCTGATCCTTTATCCAACCAGTAATTCGTCATTTGTTTTCTATAATGGAAGTATTCACAGTGGTTTTGAGTCGAAAGTAATCCTTTACCTATTGCATAGCACTTAGGTAACATTTATTGTATGTTTCAGTGCATTACTTTTTCATTAAATTTCTAAATGACTCAGATTATACAATTCAAATATACAGAACATCAGTATTGACTTCATAATACCTACATACTTTATACTGAAAACGTTCTATACTGGTATATCCTTTAAATTATGATATTTATTTTAGATATATTATTCATAGTTTTTTACAAATATATTTTTGAGAAGGACTATTTAGTTTACCCATAAACGGAAAGTTGAGGCATAATTTGGTAACCATCTTGTTAGTCTAACAATCACATTTATCACACACTTGTTTGTCATTGGTACTAACATAGGTATGCACTTTCTCTTGGCTTACTACCCAAACTTGATTATGCATGTGTCATCTGAAGTAGTCTCCTTTTTTTACAAAAAGTAATGGTACTCTTTCGTGTTATTTTTCTTTTGGAGCTAATATACCATTATTCATTACTTACAAGAATCTTTGCATGAACCTATTTGCAATTGTAATTAATGTTATGTATCGTTAATTTTTAAATATATAAGGTTTGTGACGTAAGACAATGAACTACAAACCGAGTTTAGCGAAAGGTGTGTAGAATATTTTTTCTGAAACTATACATTAAAACATTGAAGCACAGTATTCCATAATTCGGTTTTAAAATAATGCAAGGAAATGTTGAACATCTCAACATCAATGTTACTATTGGCTAATCGTAACATTCTTGGAATGCAGCTATTGAATGTGTGGTTCAAACGATAAAATGGTACATACAATTTTTGCTGCTGTCGAGTTGAGCGGTTTTGAACATGGGAGTTCAGCACAACTGCATTCTTTCCTATGACTCTTTAATGGTCCAAATTCTGATTACAATTACATTTCCTTGTTAGATACAGTGGTAATAAGTGGTTACTCTAAAAAATACACTTTTTCCAAATCAGTACAAAAACACTGTCCCTCGACGCGTGCTTTGCTAACCAAATTAGTATCGTCAGGAGATGAAATATACCAAGTTTCTACATCTAAAATAGATCTATTTATACTTACACATCATTACCTCAGTTAATGGGGTCATCAAATGATGTTCAATAAATGAATTACTAGATTGTGTTCATTTGTATTATATCCTAATTCTTAATTTATATGACTACCTGGTATTTACTTGGTTTATATTGCTGTTTATTATGTAATAATATTATTTATTTATTTATAATTATGTAACAATTAGAAATATAAACTACATAAATATTAAGGAAATAAAAGGCAGTTACTAAGATATAAATTAGGAATTAGGATATTACAGTGTAAGTATAAATAGACCTATCGTAAATGTAGTTTTTTTTTTTATCTCTTCATAATTATAACTTAGTAACCAAGACACGTGTTGAGTGGCAGTGTTTTTGTTTTGGTGTGGAAAAGTTTTCCATAGATTCATTCTGAGATGGAAGTGGTTAACAATAATAGTTGAAGTTTTATACAAGAGTGTTTTCCCATGTGAACGACAACCCTCAAAAATCAAAACTTGTGCAGGTTGAAGATTAATGAGGTCTTTATATAATTCCTAGCACTGCCAATTCTCCTCGTCCAATAGTGCTGTGCCTAGATATTGACCGAGATTCTACAGCTACCTGTGCTGTTTCCTCGACAAATACAGATGTATATTTATTGTACAGACAAGCATTTATTTACACTCCTGAGGAAACTATATCCCACCAAGAGTAATTTCTGAGTCATATGTTACCATTAACCAAAACTTTCGAATGTGTCTCTCACAATCTATATTATACACTGTGACAGCTAAACTACAGCCTGATCTTGACGTTTCTGAAACGAACGTTTTTCGACTTATCAATAATAATAATGATACTTTTTATTCAAATTGGCATCCATATATAAGTACAAAGTTTACATGGTAGTAATTATAGTAAAAAACACTTGTTTATTTTATATATCATTTAAATTTATATACAATATTTTACATTAAGACTGTCACTGTTGTAATATTTCCTTCCATTTCTTCAATTCAATAATCTTTTTCTGCCCCTTATTTCAAGAGTCAGTGTAATGGTTTGACTTGTTCGATTGATGACCTGTTTATTGTGTGGAAAATTATATTAAATATAGGATAGAGAAAATAACTTTTGTCAATTTTTACGAAGATTTTTATTTATTTCATATTGAGAATTGTTTAATAGACCGAAACCAGTCGTAACAAATACAAATCTTAGTATAAATTGGACAAAAGTTATTTTCCCTATCCTGTATCTAATAGTTTGAATTCTCAATTTGCACATTTTAGGATAAAAAGGAAGTTATTATATTCCAAAAGACCTCTATAAAATAATGAATTGGTTGTTCGGGAATTAGTACGAGAAACACATAATTTGTAATTATTTCTTGTGGGATAATCGTGAATGTTTTCTAACAATAATCTGGTTGAAGTAATGAGGTGCTAATCCAAGCAGTATTTTGAGTATAAAATTAAGAAGAAGTAAAACGTTCTATCCTTGACAGAAATACAGTCGCTAACTGCCTAGTACTTCCTAACAGGTGTACCTGTTACGCTTCAAAAGCAATCTCATTCCCTATTTTGTAACCTAAATGAATAGATAAACCCCAAGAAAGAAGAATTGAATAACTATTTTGTCATCATCATTCTTTGTCCAATGTATCTCAGTTGCAGGTTACGATAGAATTTTCTGTTTTGTCATAGATTGGTTATGCTTTGATTGATGAGGATATCTACTTCATTCTGCATTCTTCAGATTTTATTAAATACAAAGATCATGATATTTCCTGTTTCATTATTGTAATTCCGCATAGTTTATTTCAAGGTTTTATATGTTTATGCTCTGTCATAAATAATAGGTAAACGAGCAAATAAAGAGGAACATGACTAGGCTATTAATGAAATTGTTAATCAAACTTGTTGTGTAATTACTGAATTCAGTAGAGAAACATTTTAATTTTGCCAGAATAAAGTGTAGTTTATGTGTCAAATATGTTTTAAATCTGGTATGGAGTTAGACCCTGGCAGGATTGAATTTTTAAGCAAATTAGAAAGTCTAAGGTATAAAAGAAATTGTTAAACAAGCTTGTTGTGTAATTACTGAATTCAGTAGAGCAAAATTTTAATCAGAATAAAGTGTAGTTTATGTGTCAAATATTTTTTAAATCTGGTATGGAGTTAGACCCTGGCAGGATTGAATTTTTAAGCAAATTAGAAAGTCTAAGGTATAAAACAACTACAGAATTCTAGGTTCATCCGATTGGAAATATGACAACATATTAAAACTTGCAGCCTCCTGCTCATCGCATTCTATGAATATACATGAAATAAATTACAATCAAACAAAAAATATTGTCTCTATTTATTACAGTACTCAAAAAAAATTATAATTTGTATCAGATAGAGAATGATGTTAGAAACTGTCTTCAAGTCGATTATCACAATTATGAATAAACCTATCTGTAAAGTATGATCACTAAGATTGCAACAGTTATATTCAAAACTTCTAAAATACTCCTTTAATGTTTAGTATAATCCTAGGGAATACATATTCTTCTTGTGGATATGCTTTCTATATCAAATTTAAAAACGGATACCTTAAATATGTTTGATATGATGCATATAGTTTCTAAAAAGTCACCAATGAGTGATAAAAAAATTCACTATTTAGGAATAAAACGGCCAAAAATAAAGTATTTTGTAAAATATCTAACTACCACAGTGACTGCCCAAAAAAAACAATACATATAAAACAATATTATGCTTAGAAAAATTATTTATATACTGAAGCAGATACACATACATCATTACTTTTGTCAAAAATGCAGAATATGTGAAAAATGCATGCCAAGTAGCGTAAACAAACTACACATGCTGTACCAAAGTTAAGGTTCGATAAAGTAGTTATGGATATTCTTGAATTTATTGCAATGTCATATATGGTTATAACTGACTGTTTTTAATATTTGCTAGATATATTTTTAATATCAAATAAACCTCAAATTCAGTTATAGATGTAATTCAAAATATTTTACAAATAACACATGCAAAATTGCATATAACTTATCACTTACACAAGCTAAATGTAGATCTTATATCATTATCTCTATATGCTTCAAATTCATGCACTTTGCCAAAAACCGAAAAAATATGTGATATATGTACATGAAGGACTGTCATTATTTTGATTTTGAATTCTACCTTTCAGACTGAAAGTTGTTATTGAAATATGTTTATTTCTCTTGACTGATGAGTAAATGTATCACAAGATATGCATTGAAAAATATTTTCCCTGGCAGCTAAGTATTAAAATTTCAGGTATCCAAAACCCATTGAAAGCGTCCCTTGTCCTGTATCTATCTTTCCAGATAATGAAAGTGTTTTCTGTTAACAGGGAACCAGTGTTTTATCGCCAGTCATTCCATTTTCAATGGTTCTTCTTCCAGCTATTGTAATATACCAAAAATCCATTCAAGATATATATCAAAACCACCCATCATTATATATACTTTCATTTGGTTTGGTGGCCGCCAAAGTAACCAATAGACTTGTGGTAAGTTTTTAATAATTTGTAACTGTACTTTTATAATTAGGAATATAATTACAATATTCATTTGAATTTTGAAAAATAGTTAGGTTAGGTTAGGTCCAAAGTGAGTGGGTCTATTCGACCCTCCACCGCAATCCGCAAGGGTTTATTGTGGCTCACACCTATTCTCACTCGGCCAAACAAACCCAGTTTCTTAACGAAGCCGATTAGTTTGTATGCTGAGTGGTCTTTCAGCTCAGATGGTAAGAGTTCGGCTCTGCCGAACTCTAAAGACCTGATTCGGTCCCCAGCGGGGCAGGCACAAAGTATATGCTCTGTTAATGAGGTAGTCGGATAGTCAAGTTGCAAGATTCCCACCTTGATACCTACGACAACCTTCCCATATGATTGTTTTTGCACGTCAGCTACACCTGACGATGCCTTAGATTCGGTTGCCTTAGTTTGCTAACCTGCTCATGGGGAGACTCTGTAGACTCGCTCCTGAACTAAATTTACAGGGAGGTCAGTTAGAGTCGTGAACTCGACATCCATCTCCTCTGTGGACTCGCTCCTGGATTAAATTTTACAGGAAGATCAGTTGGAGTCGTAAACTCGACAGCCATCTCCTCTGTAGACTCGCTTCTGATCTAAGTTCACAGGAAGGTCAGTTGGAGTCGTAAGCTCGACATCCATCTCCTCTATAGACTCAGCGTCAGAAAGAATTTTTAAGTTTACTCTGTCCATAAACGTCCCACAAGTAGCTAGGGAAAGAAGGTCAATCACGGCAGAGCCCCGCATTACGATAAGGCGATGCTACGACGAAAGGGGGCGCCCGGTATCTTGAAGGTTCCGTAGAGACAGCTAATAGGCTCAGTGTCATTCATCCTCTCGGCACGGATACACACACTTAAGGATCAAGCCATCGTTGGGATGCCATTCAGTTAGGGAATAACAGAACCACAAGTGATTCTGTCATTCCCGTATCCAGCGGAAGCAGGCATCCGATGGCCGGTTTGCTCAACCCCCACATCCCAAGCCAATGCATTCGCCGAAAACAGCATGCACAGTGGTTCAGGCAGTGGAAGATGAACAAGGACAGCCAACCCGCCTTGAAAAATAGTAGACCATATCATAAATTACACCATATAATTTGTGTATATAATGTGTCAGCATTTTGAGGTCATTGCATTTAGCACAAGTCATGCAAATATCCATAGTACTTTTTTTACTGAGGGACGACTAATCGTTAAAACCGAGTTCTCAACCTTCCTTTGATGTTTTAGACCATCAAGGTAATTTGGGTCTTCTATCAGGTGAATGCCTCTTTTTTATAGAATTCAGCAGTCTCATATAAAATTAAAAGCTATGTATTTCTAGATCGAAACAGTTTTCCAAGTTTGTTATTTCAGCAACATATGTGCTAAGACACATCGCTTTCCATCCAAAATTTAGTGTTAACAGCCAATGAAATTGTTTGCTGTGACATTATTATGATGTGTTCTGAAACATTTACCTTCTCACCTATATTTTCTTGGCATTCTCGTTATCCCCAAGTCTTCATTAAGATATAAAAATCTTTTATGTTAGGTTACTTGATGTTTATAAACAATTATAAATTCAATTACATCATGATCAAATGAAGTGCGTTTTTTTTTATTGTCAAATATTACGATTTTAATGAAATGACATAAAACTGATCCTTCTCGATATTTATTTGTTTCACACACATATCGCATATCGAATTGTTATTATTTCTACAGGTTGCGCAAAAATAACTTCAGCTTTTTTCATTTTCAAGAATAACTATTCACATTCTTTCAATTTTATGATGAAGATATAATTTCCTTTCGAATTCTGTAGGTTGTTTCCAGAGCAATAGTTATTATTATTTCAAAGTTCAAAATAATGACCGTTTTCCTTTAAACACTTTTTTATCCTCAGGTGTGGTAGGGAGAGAGGTAACAGGTAACAATATGAAAAGTTCAATGAAATCAAGTCTGGTTACCTTGCTATTTAATATTGAGGGAATTTTCGAAGATTTATAAGAGGTCATATTTCAAAACAGGTCCATCTTCATAGTCGTTAATAATCTCACCAAAAACATTCATGTTCCATGAGTTTTAATAATTTTTACTGTGATAAGAATGCCTGTTTTTCATGTCTGATTGTGTTCATTCCCAGATCATTATTAACGAATTTTGATTCATCAAAAAAGTTTATAATTAAAAAATCGTCCACTGCTATATAGATATAGAGCTAAGCTATACAGGGTGTTTCAAATTCGATCCTCACCATTATGATCTCGGAAACTATGAGAGATACGAAGATGGTTAAAATTGGGCAAAGTTGCGCATTTACCTGACTAACAATATGCATTTGAAAATATTTTACGAAAGTCTCAAACTGCCTTTGAGAAAGTTCTGAAATTCTGAGTATATCCGGAGATATCCGGAAAAAACAAATTTCGGAAAATGGTTTTTATTTTTTTTTGGCTTTATTTTTCGAAGGATTCGAAAATAAATTGCACTTCCACATTTGACCCTTTTTCCCTGCTACATATTGCTGTTTTCAAATTTGCTATCCGACGTTTCGTCTTCCGGCCACCATCATCAACTTTATTTTTTGTTAAGGTCGCTACATAGGATTCTTTCTGTTTTGAATAGAACCAGATTTTACCTTCTCAATGATGTATCATAAGTTATCATTCCTTTTCGAAAAATTGAATTGAAGATATTGAAAAAAAATAATTCTTATCATAATAGACTTAGATGTTTCTTAATTTTACTTTCAATTAGTTACACTCAATGACATTTTGTTATTGTACAAGTCATTGAATTTTAGGCGAAAAATGGCTTTCACAAAGGAAAAAAAAAAAGTATTACAAATACGATAGAAACAGGGTTAGGACATCGGAAATGTATTTAAACTTGTATCCCGAAAGACGACAACCAAATCGAACTATGTTCAAGTTATTGGATCAAAATATCACCGAGTTTGGTTCATTTGAAAAGCCGAGGAAAAAATACGTCGGTAATGATTTTGATAAGTGTTATGTGCTATTATCTTCAATCTCACCGACGTTTCGACAAAGTCTCATTTGTCATCATCTGGATATTACTGTTAAGTGTTCGGAAGTCGGTCGACCTTACTCGATCCGCTCCTTACTATACTGGTAAAATGATGTTTGTTACGTGTTCGGAAGTAGACTGTCCTTACACGTTCTACTACCTACTATATAAATATTGTTGATTTTACCTGTGTTCTTCTTCTTGATTTAACCTCTTCTTCCCGTAAAAGTTTGAAATGTTGAATCTAAAGTTCAAAAGTTCTCAATATTCAATACACATACGGAGTTCTCTTTCGCAGTGCTACCCTGATATTTCAAAACCTTTGAGAATCTTATTAAAAACACATGTTACAAACTCCCCCTTTGCTTCCTCCCAAAAAAAATTCTAATCCAGTTTAATATAATTAATGTGTCCATTACCTAGAAAATCACCAGATACAAAATTAGTCAGTGAATATAAATTTCCTGACTACTCTACACCTTAACAAATAATAATAATGATGATATTTATTTCTTTGGTTGAAAAGTACAAGTAGTGCACCTATAAGACTTTTGTGGCATATTCCCTGGGAGAGTCGTTACGTTAGTGGGTGGGAAAGAGACGTGTGCGAGGTAATCAATGCATTGAAGGATAGAAAGTATCGGAGAAATTCAGTTGAAATTTAACAGCGCAGTAGAATTATAAAAGTAGTGGTATAATAATAATAATGAATGAAAAATAGGCTTGAAGAAAAAACATGGCGGCGGGCATTCAGTGGAGTGTTAAGGAAAAAACATGGCTGCTATCGAGGTATATAGGGTGTGTGCTGCGTTAAAGAGAAAACATGTCTGCTAACGTAAAAAAAAACATGGCTCATGAAAAATCTACAAGGTACCAATATTGTTTATGTGCAAGGCCATCAGAAACATGATTATCCAACCGCGAAATTTCACGAGTTGGATATACCTACACGCGATGTGAATTTGGAGGACTATGACAATACGACTTGGATGGTTCCCACATTCGACAATAACAACAACGAGGGTGTTTCACTTTGTATGTATCACATTCACAACCGAACCAAATATAATTGCAGTCTTCGAAACGCAGATATTCTAAACAAATGTCTTTGTGATATGTTTCCAAATGAAAATGTATAGTAAATTTCTATTCAAATGTTTTATTTCTTCTTTTTTTTACTAAACTTCATCAACTGATGGTGGTGGATACGTTTTGAAATTCCTCCATAACTCCCAATGCCGCGTGTTTTTTTTGACCCCACCCCCTTTCCCCATTTTCCACCTAACATTTGACAAACGACATGTATTCAAACACGAACACGAATAAACGCATGTAAAACAACTCATTTTGAAATGTCATTGCTGAATACTCTGCTCCTCCCATTGCTCTATTTTCGAACGTTAACTCTACAAACTTTTGAATATAAAAACGTTTCTCATTGGGATCGCACGTTGAAACGCTACACTCCTGTTAAACTGCCATGTTTTTTAAATTATGTATTTTGAGACACCCTGTACACATTGAGGAATCGCATGTTAAACTGATAGATCCCTGTTAAACTGCTATGTTTTTTTTAAGCTACACACACCTTGTATACTTCGATGGCAGCCATGTTTTTTCTTTTACGATGGCAGCAATGTTTTTTTCTTTAACACTCCACTGAATGCCCGCCGCCATGGTTTTTTCTTTAAGCCGTATTTTCATTCATTATTATTAGTTCACCGGGATTTAACAAACTTAACAAATTTCCCTTAACCTTTGACATGTTCAGCTGATCATTGCCTATCTCCAAATTCAAATTTCATTATAAATTTCCAATTTTTGAAATAATTAGTTGCGTATTGGAGACCGTTTTAGCAAATTATTCGTTAGGGCACACCATATACCATGAAAATATCTTTTTCCATAAGATTTATTATTGCTTGACTAGTACTTGTGATGCACTGTTTGGAACCTTTGTAGTAATGAATATTACTGGAGTTTGATCTTCCTCTTGAAGATGATCACTTGGTGATCGAAACACGTGTCGAGGTGTTAAAATAACTGTTTGGTGTTGGGAAAAAACTCCAGTAATATTAACCTCTGGTAGAAGTCCATAATTTATTATTCTTCGCAAATCCAGTAATATTGCTTGACTAGTTGTTTACTGGATAGGAAAAAGTAAAACATATTTGGTGAAAAATCTGCCATAACAAAAATGAAACGATTTTTTTTCTCATTGAGAGGAAGCGGATCTATAAAATCAGATATTACTTGGGCACTCATTTGACCAAATGGTAGTTTTTGCTCAGGCTTTTGAGACTTGCAGACTTGACAATTCCTAATATATTTTGCAATATCAACGTTCAGTTTGGGCCAGTAACATAAGGATGCAATTCGATTTTTTGAGTTGAAATACCCAAGGTGTCCTGAAGTTGGAGCATCATGGCATTTCTTGAAACTACTTTTCAAAGAGATTTAGATACAAATCATTTCCAGTCATAGTCAGAATCAGAAGATGAAGTCGACTTTAAAAGTTTGTACACACCACTTAAGATATTTGCCAGGCATCGAACAGATTTTCTCTGGAAGTTTTTCATACCATCGGTCATAATAATCTTCCTTAACCTTATAAGGCAACGGGTACCACGTGAAATTCACTTTTACGATGAATTATTTCAAAATCGAAACTTTGTAATTTGAGTGACCACCTAGGTAAGCGACCTGAAGGATTTTGAAGTTTATGGAGTCGCACAAGCGAAAAGTGGTCCGTAACGATCTTCAATTCAACTCCCTCAACATAACAATTCAGTTCTGTGGTTGAAAATTTGGATTTTTCAGAAGTCAAGGTTCTGCTGACTTGAGCAATCTCATATTCTCCGGCATCAAAATTCTGTGTCAAAACGCAACCTATTTCTACCTGTGAAGCGTCACACTGCAAAATGAATTTCTTGGACAAATACTGAAAACTCAGTATGGGAGTACAAATCAGCATCTCTTCAATTCTCATGATAGCGCAATCGGCTTCATCAGACCAGACTAATTTTTTTCGTGTTTGCGGGTTAGCTAACTAATGGGCGAAACAAATTTCGAACTTTGGTTTAGCCAGGCTGGTAAGAATTGGTCCAATGGAAAGATTAACTCCGAAAGTTTCATCCATAACTGCGATGGGCATCTTCAGCGGTGGTTGGCAGCAATGCGTTGCGAACTTCTTGTTAATAGAATCGTTAACGAGTCAAGAGCGCAAAATTTTTCACTCTTCACAGTTAAAAATATATAAATTACTGATATCAGCTCCTGATGCATTATTTACTTGCTCAGAGCTTGATGGTAAAGATGTACAGAAGCAAATATGCGGATTATCCATTTGAGGACTAGCGTTGCCGTGACTTTAGTCATATTTCGATTTGTTTGAAGGCACCCTATTGCGGTGGTACCTTACTGTCGTATGAAGGATTGCCTTCCCTTAGGTTGTGCCGCTCAACTTAATATTCCGCGACATCTTGGCGGGTTTTTATAACTTTGCAAAAATCATGTATCGGATGAAAACATAAATAAAATATTTCGAATTTCGCATTGTACTGTATTGGAATATTCTGGCACAATCAGTGCTGCGAGTAAAGCTGCACCGGATCTCCACCGATTCCATAGATCCCCCTCGTTTCAGTATCAGTTGGGAAGCGGCCCTACTCCTGCGCGGGGCCAGTCTTCTTCTAGGAAACCACAAATAACAAAATTACATTTAAATTATTTCAATAAAAAACATTTAAAGTTGATTTATTGATTTCCAAAAAATAGTCAATAAGGTCAGCATACAGTTGAGCGATACTTTTTACGATGTTAATAGCCAATCTTATGGTAGAAATTTTTTTGTCTGGATTCTTAGCCAATCTGAACTGGTAATTTTCGCCAACAGCATTTTTAGGCAGATTTCCGTGAAGAAATATGAAAATAAGAGCAAGAAGATTCTAATAAAAATAGGAATAAAACTGTCGTACTTAGGATGCAAAAAAAGGGAAATAAAATAAGTCATTCTTACCTCTTGTCCACGAGTTTCTGAACATAAATGGGTATGACTCCTATTACACAGCCATAGTGATTGACTCAAACAGCTAGTTAGCAATAAACAAATACAGTTGAGGCGTTGCACAAATGTACTTTGCTAACAACTAAAAATGGCGTATGCCAAGGCAAAAATATTAAACCACTTCACTCGACTAGAGGAAATGATGGTATATCTCATATGGGGTGAACCGATTTTTTGTTTCTATGGAATTTGAAAAGACATTTCAACAAGAAATAGTTGATTCGTAGTGCCCTCTCATAGAAAATAGCAGTAAATAATAGATTGAGAAATGTAGAAACTATTTTTGAATGCATCAACCAACTGTTAGTGTGGTTGGTCAAAGTATAAACCATTACAACTTCAATGGGGTGAACTGTTATGTTCACAGTTATGAATTAGTTAACTTTTTTGCGAAACTAACACTTGTCATTGCCTAGCTTAGTCTTACTAGAGTAGAGTTGAGCTAGTCTGGGAAATCACGGAACCTATAACGTTAAGCCAAACCCTGGATCTGAGGGTTGCTTGCACGAAGGTGAGGAAGGTTTTGTTGCTGCCGTGGACAAAACTGGTTATTCGGGGCGAATAACACAGAGTTATTCTAATAATGGTTTTACAGCTGGGATTTTAAGCTCGAATTATACCTTATTCCGTAGCAACCACGAATAGTACGTCGGTATGGAGCCCCCACAACTTTTGTGTTGACCCCCTTTCCAAATCTGTTTCCATTGTTTGGGGTACTAAAAGAAATTTCTAATGCTGGATGATCAATTACTACCGTCAGGTACCTTCAGAATCCAGTCTCGTCATGTCCTAGGTGAAGGCGGGTAAGTGCGGTGGCAAATTAAAGTACAATATTTTGATTCAAAAACACTGGCTTTGGCTCGTTTCATTTCACTAACGGAAAATAGTGTTTATACATTGAAATTATTAAGAAAAATGAAAAAGAGAAGTAAATATAGAAAACACTCCATACAATCTACAGAAATAGTGTTTTTCCGAGCTTGAAAATTCCCTTATTGTGAACTACAACATCCCATTCTTTATCAACAATTAAACCGGTGCTTCTATGGCATGAATCGGATGAGAATTGCGATGAAAATGAAACAGGTTTTGAAGTTAAAACAATGCCTAATTTACTTCAACGGACACGTCTGATAATCCTGGGTTTGGACTGTCTCCTAAGTTTCCTACGACCCGCCATCATAATGTGCATTTCTCAGTCAACCTAAAAAGAAGTTCTGTTGTGACCTGACAAGGTCGTGTTTGAATTTTCTGATATGAATTTTTTATATTCTACTTCTGTGTACCACCTAAATTGTGCTCCCACCATAGCCTATCACACTCTTTTTGAGCCACGATTTCTCGGCGAAAGCAGAACTTGCAGGCTTATTACCTCTTGGATCACACTTTTCCGTCGATATTTTTTCCAGAATATATCGTCCTAATTTCATATAGGATATATGGTACTTGTTCATGATACGAAAAGTTCGTAGGGATTTGCGACCGCGTAACACACCGGCGGAAAACCAACGCACTGCGGACCAGCGCGTGCGAAGCGAATCCAATCACGAAATACACGCAGTGACAAATACACCCGACATGCATCGAATTTCTGGTATGAGTATTTGAACCCTTTACCTAAGTTGAGTTATTTTGTAAGAAAAACTCGACCTGCGACACTCTTGAAAAAAAGATTAAACGATTTACCGAATTTACCGAAAATGTATTCTCCATTTCATCCCCATAAATGTTTGAGACATTCTCCATTCACTTCCTAACAATAATGAAGTTGATTCACAAATATATTTCTTACATTATAGAACGTTTCTGGGGTGCTTTCTTTATTCTTGAATGAATCCCCACAAAAAATCTGAAGAAGTCATATCATATCAGATATGGCCATTCAAAATGGCGCAACCGCAGTTCATTTCAAAACTCTTGAATAGAAAAAGAGGTGCTTGCAGACTCTTCTAAATTCGATAAGGTCTTGAGAAAACTGTTAATATTGAAAAGTAGATGCGATTTGATAACTGATAATTATCGAATGAAAAATTAACATTGAAATTTTCATTCAATCACTTTATATTATTTATATTTAGCTTATGGTAAGGGACGCCTTCAGTTCAGTTTCTACTGAACTAGTATGCTACTAAAAAATAAAAAGCATTTTCACCTTAAACTGGATAGCAAATTTTCAAATTGATGCAAGATAGGTAACTGGTCAATAATGCATGATGAATCGGAGGTATGAAGTATTAATTTGATCAAAACATATGTTTGATACGTTCAGTTTCAATTTGAAACAACTTCAGAATAACTTGAATGTTTCTTATTGTGATTCGACTTAAAGTCTCTCTTGGGTAGTTTTGCCTAAAAAAAAATTATGTTTTAATTGACATATAAAAGCAAAAATATAAAAATAAATTCAACATTGTTCTGTTATAAAATATTAATATGAAATGAATAAAATGGCTTTTAAGATCAAAAGTAGTCGTTTTTTTAAATCACTTCCTCATTTATTTTCGTTTCAGGTAGCTCATATGACGAAAAGTGAAATGGAATATACAGATTGGTCTTTGATGGGACCAGCAATGTTGATTTGTAATCAATATTTTAACACATTTATAGATGAATACTATATTTTGTGGTTATGTATGGTAAGTTTCATGTGTAATTTCCTTTTATGTATTCGTTAAGAATTATTTGAAACATCATACTGCTATACTTCTTTCACAAATTCAAAGAAAATCTTTATAGTGCTGATATATTCAATTTTCAATCATGAAACTTTGATAAAGTTGCAGTGTATGTGGGCCAATCTTGGATTTAAATATCTTTAGATTATATGCATCTGGACAAGAATTTCTGGAAGTTCATTCCGCAAGGACGCAGTTCTCCAAATGAAAAAGTTCTTAGAACATGTAGGTCGAAGCAAACATATACTGCTTTTCACTGAATCTAGCGGGATAAGTCAGTAGAATATTTCCCTTGAAAATTCTTAACAGCCTCAGGAACATTATATTCGGGGTATATGTAAAATATTCCAAATAAGGTCCAATTTGAACTCAATAAATAAAGCATTGAAATTTGCTAAACTGTGTAAAATTTTCAAGTTCAAAGCAATGTTCCAAGTGTTTAGGAAGATGCCTTTGCTACTATGACATACTGTTATTATAATTTGAGCTTTATAAAGCATTGAAAGTTGCTGAGGTGTGTTAAACTATCTAGTTCGAAGCAGTGTTCCAAATTTCTGAGACACTGCTTTTGCTATTATAACATATTGGTCACATTCACTTTCTTAGAGGGGACTGATGCAAGAGTTTTCTGTAGAGTTCAGTTTCCCTAAGTAAAAATTTCCTACATCAATGGCTGTTTGTAAGAAATGGTCTTTGATAAAATTGGATAGCCATGAACAAAAATAATCTGACAAGCCATAATATCGAAGTTTAATTAGTAGATAGTAGCTTAAGAGCAGCTTTCTGAATATTCAAGAAATGGAGTTAAAGTGTATGGTAGTTTTTCCTCTGGCCTAGTTGACTAATGTTTAGAAAGTGAAGAAACTAATCAGCCTATTAAATATTTCATCCCATCTACTTTTCAGACATTTGCATTGATTCAGTCGTTGAATCAGTTTGGCTCAAAATAACAGTCGCCAACTTCTTGTTTATATTGGCCATCCAGTTCAAACCAAAATCAATACTATGAACTTTCACGGCTGGAGATGACGATGTGACCGTGATCTGCATTTTATGCCTGACGTTTCACCTACTACTGCGGTAGACATTATCAAAGGCAATATGGGAGTGGTCACAGTGTCCGAGTTGGTGCTCAGGCACTGCGACCGTTGATGCGTTCGGAACAACGAGAACAACAACTTGAGCATTGCGACCGTTACCACATCGCCTTTGATAATGACTATCGCAATTATAGACGAACCCGGAAAACAGCTTTCACACAAAAATCGAGATGTTCCATGATCAATGTAATCGATTAGGGTATTTCTACATAAAAGCCTATTCATTTTTCATCTCAATGATAGTAGGTCTGTATTGTTGGCTCATTGTGAAATTTCAAGACATTCCCACCAAACAACATCAAGAATAGAATAACTTTTCGGGAATGACTTCGTCTGAAATAAGATTAGTGTCAACAAAACGTACCTAGTGATATATAAGAAGCTGTATTCACGAATTGTTTTCTGAAAATAAACTCCAGTGACAGTAGCCGGTCGGTTGAGGTGAGTGGTTTGCTTTACTCAGTCAATCGACCGCTGTGTGAACCGGAGGTTCGAGCCGCAAGGCCGGGCGATCAATTTTCACTTCCTATCGTTCAACCCTTGTTAGGAATCACACGTTGTTAAAAGGTAAGACCTCGTTATTCCTTAGCTCCCACAAGTTTCGACTTTTGAGAGTTGTCGTTCGTAGGGGGGCAACAGCTGGTTAACGGAAAAACATTTGAAAACAGTTTTTTTTTAGGAATCAATCAATCCAATTTTCAGTTGCGAGCAGACATTAACAGTAATCTGACCATATTTTCAGGTTTAAGGTGTTCATCCAGATCGAGAGTTAATTTTTGGCTTGCTTTATTGTGTCTGTAGCATTGAACTACAGCGAGGAATGGAGTGTCTTGACGGTTACAGTATTGGCTTTTGTCAGTGTCTACTTTGTCTATTGCTAGTATATCTGTATAACAAAATAATAACTTCGAAATGATATCTCGAAATATTTTCTCTCCCAATGTTCCTACACAGTAGGATCTGGTAAATGCCTGTCGGACAACAACTAATTTCCCGGCTAATACCATGATGGACCTTGAATAATATCCGACAGACATTCTGCCAACCTGTCTGGGTTAAGCAATAGTTCATCTCGCAATGCTTTCTACCTACCCAGCTCCCTAGGTTGCATCAAGCAATAGTTTGGCTTTCAGTCGCCTTTGCGTTTACGTTTAAATTTCCGATTTTGTATAGATAGAGTTTCTTTGCAAGCAATAGCTCGATGAAATCGCCCCCGCTAGAGCAAGAACCGCATCTCTACACATCTTTCTGTATGCACAGCATGTTCTTGAAAATTGAATTCTCCAGATTGTGGCTACATATACAATCACAAACTTACTGTTTCAGAGTGTTCTTTTATAAGTTTTTCGGTTTTTGGCATGAGTCTATAAAGTGTGGTAGTCGAGGTTGCAGCACTCGATTCAATATGGATAATTACAAACTGGTTGATCTTTTCCAATTCCTTTTCTGCTTCAGTTAATAGCATTTGATTGATTCTTTCTGTCACCATGACAGCGATTTCGTCCGCAAATCCTGTCTGGTGTTGGAGTCATAGAACACCATAAGATATTCCATAATATTGAATGCCAAGTACGAAACTCTGTGACACACCACTATTGACATCGAGTGACTGTTGTCTTATCTATCGCTAACTAGAATGTCTGCCGCTGAGACAACTATGAATTTTGCACGGTATCGTTGTAAATCATTTCTTGATAAAAATAACGGGGTTCGGAAAACTAAATTCAACCAGTGTTAGGGGGGTACATTGGCTGCTGCATCCCAAGCCCCCATGTATTTGATTTTCACCATAGGACGCAACAGCAGCAGCTTAGTTGTCGACAGATTTCTGAATAATTACCATTAATTACCAGTGCCTTCTCACCGTCGATACTGAAGCAACGAGCTCAGTAGTGATAGCCGACATTTCCAAAAGAAGCACTTTGAAGAAGTTATCAGAAGTACCCGTTCTGGAAACAGCCACTGGAGATAGACTGACGGTTTATTATTATTATTATGAAGAAGCTGAAGTGAGATTTAGATTTAGAAATTGCGAAATATAAACTAAGGTATCACTAGCCAACATCGTCGATAAGTTCATTTTGGGACTAGACATCATGTCCCCCTACGGATTCGTGGTGGACATAAGGAACAAACTGTTGGAAATGAGGAAATTCTGCTTGGTGTGTTCTCTCAGCCTTATGACAGCGCCAAGGTGGTTATACTGGTATATTCTAGAATATCTCCCAACACCGAGAAAATCATTCAAGTGGAATTTGCTGGACCCGGCGACTTGGGCATAGTACTGATATATCAATCCAACGGCTCTAAAGCAGAAATTTTCGTGTTCAGATCTCTCGTAAATGGTAACATCAGACGATTCCAGTAAGAATAATCAATCCTAATGATCAGGGTGACTCTCGAAAAGAGCAAGTAATAGACACCTGTGAATCGATTGTGAAAATTTGCTAGAATAAAGGAAGAACTTTTCAGTGTGTTCATCTGTGTTCAACTCATCGACTCATTCAGGAAGACGTGGATCCATCTATCTGAAGAAGAACTATGCAAGGCCACCCGATTCCTATACGAAGAGAATAATATGTTTGTGAAGGGCAAAATCATTGACCAAATGGATTTAGTTCAACATCGGATCGATACTGGCGATGCCAAGCTCATACGCCAACCAATGAGACGACTTCTTTCGCAAAGCAGGACGATTTATCCATCGTTAAGGACGTGTTGGAGGAAAGAGTAGTCGAGGAATTAAACAGCCTGGGCGTCACCTGTTGTGTTAGTGACTAAGAAAGATAGATCGACGAGATTCTGCGTAGACTACAGGAGGTTTAGTGATGTCATCAGGAAGTACAGTTACCCTCTCCCCAGAATAGATGACACCCTGAACATCTTGGCTGAATGCAGATGGTTCTCAATATAAGATCTGAAAATGGAATATTGACAGGTGGCCGTTATCCTCGACTATAAAGAGAAGACTGCCTTTTCCAGCGGCAATGGATCATACCAGCTTATGTCGTTTGGATTATGCAATGCACCTACAACATTTGAATGCTTGATGAAGTTGGTGCCGAGAGGACTCACCTGGAAAACATGCTTGATCTATCTTGATGACATTATAGTGACCAGAAAAAGTTTTGACGAACATCTGTCAAACTTGAGGAGTGTTTTCAAGAGGCTGCAGAGTGCTCATTTGCAGATCAATCCCAAGAAGTGCTGCTTCTTCTAGGAAAGAGTAAATTTCTTGGAACACGCTGCGTCCTCAAAAGTAATTAAAACATAAAAAAAAATCAAGGCAGTGCAAGAATGGCCAACACGGATGCATCCCAACATGTAATTGGAGCAGTACTTTCTCAGCCACAAAGAAAAGAAGAAGTCGTCATTAGCTATTTATCTAAGTCCCTGGGAACACCCGAAAGAAATTACTGCGTTACGAGAAAAGAGGGAACCCGCTGCTTCGGGTTCCCTCTGACCCAGAGAGTAGCAACCTGTTAGGGTCCCTTGTCCAGAGATACGGACAGAAGATGTGGGGAATCACCTGACCATGGTATGGTACAGTCATTAACATCCTCCGAGGGTGACACTACCTTCATGACGAGGCAAGATATCGTGGTGCAGAAGGAGGATCCGGTCTTGAATACTGTACGATAATGGATTGCAAGAGACTTCCAAACACGGCAAGCAGGAAAAGGGTTACTGGCTCCAATGGGACCTTATATGTATTCGAGATGAACTACGCACTCGGATGGAAGTTACTAGAACTCTAGCGAGAGTGCGTGAGGGGTAATTTTGGGTCAGTTACTGACGAGACGTGGAGGAGTGGTGTGAGTGCTGTGAACTGTGCTCTTCCAGAAAGTGTCTGAAGATAAGGCATATTCGGTAACAAGTATCTTATGAAGAAGTAGTGTTACCCAACCAATAGACCAGAACGGTGGCAGAAGCTCTGTTGTAGAACGTAATTTCCAGACACAGAGTAACCCAGAAGTTACACTTGAATCAGGGCCGCAACTTCGAATCGGATTTATGGAAGAAAATGATGACTTTGTTGGGAATGAAGAAGACAAGAAGAACCGCTCTTCACCATTCTGATGGAATGGTCGAGAGGCATAAATGCACCATAAATGACTGCGCCTGTCTCGATGTATGTCTCCTAAAACCAAAGAGACAGATAAATTGGTTCCGATAGGATACACACCCACCATCCATGTTGTTAACTGGTCAAGAACGGAAGCTTCCGATAGACGTAATGTGCATCAGCCCACCTGATGAATCTCAAGAGGTACCCCTTTCAGATGGTATGTGAATGATAAAGCTTTCCAGCGAAAGGAAGTTGTCCACATTGGGAGACTGAGTCCTTACATGGGTTGTGATGTTCTCTCTTAGAATGTTGTTTAGGGCGAACAAACTCAGGGAAAGGGGCAGTGTTGTAAATCATTCCCTAAAAAAAACGCCGGTCGCCGCTGGTCGTCATAAATCGATTACGACTTGGCCAAGATCGCGCTCACCTCGATTTGCTAATCGCGATTGTTATAGATGCCGTGTCGCTTCGATATACTTCTAGCCAATTCTCTATCAGCTTAGAGAGACTTCGATTACCATATATAAACACTACCCATCGGCATATCCAGGAAGTCTAGTTGACAGTGCGGTATGAAGTGATCCAATAAGGCGATAGGCAATGGAAGTCCAAACTAATGAAATGCAACATTATATAATTCATACAGTCCCTTTTAGTCGTCCTTTTATTAAATATTCAAACAGCTTTCTCGATTTATTCAAAAGACAAAGATGGAATGAAGTTGTTACTTGTCCTTTGCTCAGCAGTACAAGCCTGGTTATTATCCATCTTTCGGGAAATTCCGCTCTCGCAAGGGCTTTATTTATCACATCAAGAAACGTAATATGCATTTATTAAATTACTATCTAGATGAACTCTCTTATCTTGCCCCACAAAAAGATGCTGAGCCTGATGCAGTACCTCCTAGTATTCCCAAATTTTGCAGTTCTATTCTCTCGCCCTCTCTACCACATTTTCAATAAGTCTTTAAACATTGATCAGAGCGTTGTGATCAAGTCTTGAGCTGTTGTAGGTTTTGCCCTGTTCATGGTTTAGGTAAGCTTCTTGTTGTCGAGTTTCCTCAAGTTCCATCTAGCCAGCTAACTCCATCTGTTTGTTTTCAAAGGTTTCTCGATTTGGAACTCATATTTGTCATATATAATTGCCATATATGAGTTCGCGTGGGTGAAATGAAATGGAAGATACAAATCAACGTACTAGTGGCTAATGACTTATTAGACGTAGATCATATCATTACTTCCAAAAAACTTCATAAACATATAGAAATAAGGGATCTCCTAGTTATATACACTAACTATATACACTAACGGTTAAGTTAGAGGAAAACTTTTACAGACCAAAAAAATCAACAGCTCTAAAAACGTCAATTTCGGAATCTTTCATATTGAAAGTATGTGGAATAGCTTGAATTTCAACATAAATAACATCAAAAATGTAAATTAACGTGAAAAAAAGAATATTACTGTTACCAACACATCCATATAAGTAGAATTTACTTGTGTGAATTCATAAGAAATAGTATTGTTATAAATTTGTAGAATCTCATAATAAAATATATTTTTCCGTTAACCAGCTATTGCACCCCTACTAACGATAACAGTAGTCGAAACTTGTGCAAGCTAAGGACTAACGAGGTCTTACCTTTTAACGTGTGATTCCTAACACATAATGTTCAATATATTTGGAAAATTAGATTTAGCACTAGCATTTACATATATTAACCTCAATTTCCTGGTATGAACATAAAAGGTCAAGTATATTAACACGCCCTTTTCTATTTATTTTGGTCAACTTTCTATGAAATATGTAAAGATGAAAAGTAGTGACCTGCCTTTTACTAGTATTTTATATTTTAATGAAGAAGTTTATGTGAAGTAGAATTGAAATTTGTGAAAGATGAAAAACTTGTGCAGTTAGATTAATAAGTGTTACAAAAATAAACGATGAGAATTGTATTATTGAAATATTCAAGTAACACTTGAATACAACTTATTATGCACTGTTTGGAACCTTTGGTGTAGTAATGAATATTACTGGAGTTTTTTCTCAATACCAAATTGGTATTTTTAACACCTCGACACGTGTTTCGATCACCAAGTGATCACCTTCAAAGAGGAAGATTAAAACCTCTTTGAAGATGATCACTTAGTGATCGAAACTCGTGTCGAGGTGTTAAAAATAACGATTTGGTGTTGGGAAAAAACTCCAGTAATATTCACTTGAATACAATATACAATTTCATCAAGTAGTGACCGATTCCATCACATATTGAGTTATTGTTGCAGATATGGGTTTCCATCGACCTCATACGATACTGTCATCAGATTTGCGAAGAAATCTGTGATTATCTTCATATTGAATTATTTAGAATTCCATATCCCTCAGGAACATCAAAAATGTCTTCAGCTTCACCATTAGCTACTGAAACAAATGGTACGAATTATCGATTAAATAGATTACCAAAGTCTCGTAATAAAAGTAAACATTTCTGAATTGATTGTTTTGAGTTTATTGTTATAGGTATAGGCAGTTTTTTTTCTGTATGAGATGGTATAAAGGACTATACAAGGATGCCAACGGTATATAAATTGTACTAAATTCCTCTATGAGTTGATCAATAGTACTAGGTGTACATAGGCTAATAAAGAGACATTTCAATTATTTTATTACAAGAATTGAATATTTTCTTCTCATTAAATGTATAGAGGAATTTAAGATATTAATAGGCAGACTACTTACAGATGATTTAAAAATTTGGCGAATAACTCCTAAAATATAGAAAGTTGAAAATTGTTGTGATGAATTTGGTCATGAGCATAAAATTGAAATGGTAACATGTTGAAATTTATTATCAATACAATTGCATTGATTACTTGACATTATTTTGCCATCTTAATTTAGCTCTATCGTTTTTCTCCTTTTATATACAGTTAGGAATATCTTCTCCTTACTCATTACAATTATTTCAGGATGCATTGAATCTACTCTATAAACAAGCAAAATTGTATATTATATTTGTACTAACATTTCATATTGTATAGTATTGAGGAACAAAACACTACACGGAGTTCATGTTTCTCACTTGTTTTTTAAAAATGACATTTGTTTTTTATTTGATAATTGATTTGCTGAACTTGTTTCTGCTCAAGAGAAATCAAAAATGTTGTATTAAATGTTGAAATGAGCCAAATTCCACAAAAAAAGCACAAGTTATAATAAATGAAATGTTTCGAAAGTGTTACTATCATTAATATCATGTTGATGTTTGGATATTTACAAAATTATTTGGTTGAATAGATTCCTCCAGGAAACAAGTTGTTTAATTTTTGTTAATTCTAGTAGATAAATATCCTTTATATAATAAAGGACTATCTTGAAAAGCATTTTTTCTTGTATTAATGCGGTAGTTTCTCCAATTCCTTCCCTTTCATTTCATTTCAAGTCACCCAATCATTCATCGGTTCAATTTGAGCAGATAAAATAGTTGAAAACTAATAATAATAGTCTTTATTGGTTTCAAAGACCTAAAAGGCATAAAACAAGTCAAAAGAAATTTGAACATAGATTAGGCAAACAATATATGTACTTTAAAATGCTATAAGGAGCAAAGAGAGTTCACTACGAACTCGTCCATTGTATAATACGAGTTATCCAGTAAGTATGTTTTCAGCGTTTTTCTGAATCTGAAGTAAGATACCTCCTGATCGATTTTTGTCAATAGGTGTCATCTTATTATTCTATTATGATAATAAAAAATTGAGGAATTATTTTTCATAAACAATATATTTTTGTCGTCAGTACTACTTTCATTAGGCACTGAAAAAAAAAAATTTCCAACTCGATATAGTCGATCATCCTATATTCTTCCAAATGACAAGTTATTATGCCGGGTATGATACAATATTTTGGTATCTTTTTATCAATATTTATATCGGTTGTCCAGTTTATCATTTTTGTAAAAACCAACAATAAAAAGCATCCTCTAAAAGTTCAATTTTCGGTTTCTTCATAATTTTCCAGTGTTTACTCTTGTCTTCATTATCTAATTTGCAGGTGTACAACAAAATTGAATCGGTATACGTCTTAATATCACTTATTGTGGGTGTACCTACACCATACTTTTATCAGCTAACTCACAACCGGTTCCTTTTTTTTTTAACGCATCAATAATATTTATTTTGTCTTCTAGCAATAACACCACTCTCCTACGCTTTGTCATTTTTAAGTCAAAGTGGAGTATCAATTGCTAACTGACTAAAAAATTAAGGAAACGCGTAAGTATTTAACCGCTCGCGCATCATCGCGAAAAGGGCAGTAGGTCGTTGACCGTCCGTGCTGCGCGAGCGCATCAAATTTTTGCGTGCAACCGCCACCATTAACACGTTCAATGCTCACTACACTTATAGGTGTAGAAGTAATTTCCAAAGAAGTGCCCCCTACACCTATAAGTGTTCGGCTGTTAGCTAAATTTTTATTGGTTTCTATATAGTGGGTTTTTCTGAAATAGTATTATTACGAAGAGAGGCATGGCTATCGGGTCATTAAATTATAATACTTAGATGTGGATTTTTGTTTCGTTTATTTACTTGTAGGATATATATCCTAGAATTAATTGATTAATTGTTCTTTTTTTAAGTTGAATTTTCGTACTGTCAGTTTTTTTTTCTAGTATGAGTTAAATTATCATATAATTGCTTACTTTTATAGCTCATTTTAGTTCAAATTAAATCGCTTATTAGTACACGAAATTATACCTAGTGAAGAGGGTAATGAACACGTTATTTCCTGAATATATATATATATATCTCTGCGACAAAATGACTACGGACCAAAGACCATTCAAAAGGCCATCGACAGACAAAGAAGAACCAAAAAAACATCCACTAGATCGACAGAAGACTCTCCACACGACAGACAATCTGTGACACCACCTTATGTCAAAGGTGTGACCGACAAAATTGGGAGAATACTAAGACATAAAAACATCCGGACAACCTACAAACCGCACAAAACGATATCCAGTTGGCTGCCCAGACCGAAAGANTGTAAAATTTATGTATTATGCATTTTGTTTTTACCTGCGGTAAGGTAATTTATGCAAAATCAGGATTATATATTTTTAAATGATAATCCCCTTGAAACAAATGTTGTAACAAATTATACACATTTTTCTAGTCAGTCTTGAGTTTTATTCGAAGACAAATTTGTGTTGGAATCATCGTGAAGAGCAATTTTATATTTTTTTATTAAAAAATGGATATTGCAGCTAGATATTCTGGTTTGTTTAGGAAAAGAAAACTACGGTCTAATTCAATGGAATGCGAGAAGTTGATTCATATTTTGGAATCGGATGAAGAAAGTTCGGGGTCAAGTAGTGATTGTGGCATTAGTGAAATGAGTTCCTCGTCGAGTGATGAATATTTATAAGATACTCAAATATTTGAAGAGCTAAAGCAATTGTATGGTGCCGAAGAGTTGATTTCAACAGCAGATGTTACCCAAACTAATGCTGCTGTTGAAGAACGACAGGATGAACTTTTAGCATTAATAGTTTGAGAAACTAATAATTATGCAATAACTGTTTTTGTCCGAAAAAACTAATCTGACGGTTATCGAATTGAAAGTCTTTCTTGGACTTCTACTACTAACAAGAACAGTTCAGTTACCCCGTTCTTATTACTCTAGTATCTAGGAACAGGATACTGTTATCAGTTTCATTTGCAACTGTGAACTGAATATTTTCATCATATGAATTGAAAATTGACAAAACTGTATCAATTTTATCAGACGGTACTAGCAAAATCAAATCATCCACAAATCGTTTGATAAATGGTATATTAAAATTTATTCGTGAAACACATTCATTTAATAACTAATCTAAAACATAATTTGCCAAAATCGGTGAAATATTTGAACCCATTGCTATTCCAAATATCTGTTTATAGAATTTGTTATTGAAAACAAAATAATTGGATTCAAATATGAACCTTAGAATGTTTATGAAAATAATTTTAATTTTGTTTAAATTACAATGTTTTTTGATTTTGAACCATTTTTTATCGATACATTTTTCAACTATAGTTAATGACAAATTTGTATATAAATAAATTACATCTAAGCTTATGAGTACATAATTATTCGGTACTTTGTAATTATTAACGAATTCACTAAATGTAAAAGAATCTTTCACGAAATAGATATTTTCAATTTCATAAGCATTTGTGAGAAATTTTGAAAGTTTACTATTTGGTGCATCTATACATGATACTATCGGTCTCATTGATAACGTTGGTTTATGTATTTTTGGCAAGAAATAAAATAGTGGAGTAATCAAATTATAGATCATAAGATATTTTAGAGGTGAAAATGTCAATTATTTTTTTATATATAGAAAGGTTAATGCAGCCAAGCTGCTGGAAAATAATTGCATGAAAATCAAAAAATAAAAAGATAAGTACTATTCTGATCATTCCCACATTGATTTCAATTTAAGAGCCACCGGTAGAGAGCTGTTTCAGCCTATTGCGTCGTCAGTACCGGGCAGGCGGTCCTCGATTGAAGATAATATGTGAATAACCAAGAGAAGTACTTAAAAAAAAATAACGCAAGCGAGAAATAAGTGGAACCACCAATTAGTGTGACACCCATGTCAACTTGCCAAGTTTTTATGTCAGTGTTGGTGATTTGACTAATCAACCGCAGTTATCGGTATTTTAATAATAATAATAATAGGTCTTTATTGCCAAAATGATGCAATAAATATATAAAATGGGAAAGGCTGAAGATCGGTTGGTTGTATCAAGATGGAACCTGTTTTTCATCGTTTGAAAGGTCTCTTCATTCTCTATTCTTAAATGTTATCGCTTTCAAGTTTATTGCAACAATAAACATTGAATAAATTGAAATCATGTGGTTACCGAAATTCATTTCGATAAATTACACTCAAAAACTGAAATGTAATGCAAAACGTAATGAAATGTAGAATACGAAAAAGAACTATGGATTTTAACGAAGTAGATGTTCAAAATGTTTACCGCGAACGACTTGGCAACATCCTAATCACAAATAAAACATTATTTAACATATCATGACCGACCTAATCGTAAGCGTTATTAGTTTTTTTAAGTCATTCAAATCTGAAGGTTTAGTTTTGTATATATTGCTCTTCACATATCTCCATAAAAATAAATCTAATGATGAAAGATCAGGTGATCGCGCTGGCCATTTAGTTGATCCTCGCCTTCCTATCCACCGATTGGGAAATGTATCGAGGTATTGCCTGACATAAGTTGAACCAAATTCAGAAAATTGTTGTAATTCACTCTTTCAACTAATTGAGAAACAGCCGGCAGAATGCTAATTGAACGCAAATCTCTGAAACTTTCTGGATTACTTTTTTTTGGCAGGGGTATGACCAGAGCTTCCTTCCAACCATTTGGAAAATCATCTATTTGAATACAGAAATTTATTATGTGTGTTATTTAAGGTACTATGAAAAGGCAATATTTAATCAATATTTATGACATCGGAGCCTTGAGCATAGTTCTCAGTGGAGCATGGTGGTTGGAAATCGAAAGAATAGAGTCGTTGAGAAGTTGTAGTTTCTTATTCAAACCAGTCAGATAGTAAATCGAAGGGAACGGTTGTGGGTTACCAGGTCTTCCGTGAATTTTGGCGAGGGTTCCATTATGAACGCTTCCGCTTGCCCCATTCTTGGAAGCTTGTTTCACCAATTTAGCGATTTGGGTTGCATGCACGAATAGATAGATGCCTTTATACTACACGGGCTAAAACATCGGCCTCCTCATTGCCCTTGTGTGACCGGGTATCCAGGCTAGGGTAACCCTATTATGGGAACCTAGCTCAGTGCGCTAAGACAGCTCCCTATAAGTCGCAAAAAGACTTGGTAAAAGCTGAACGCCAGAACTTGTTAGAAGCTGAGCGCCTTAATTGCCGCCTGGCTATCAAAGAAAGTTGTCAACCTTCTTCGTGATCAAATCTTCAGTGTTCGATAGCGACAACTTCTGTCTGAAACACTGTTGCGTTCTGTCCAAAGTTGAATGCGATTCTCGTCTTCACTCTGCTTCTGTATAAGCCGTAAGTTTCCTCCGCTTTTACTGGTGGGCCGTTTTCCAGTCCAGTGATAGTTTTGAAGCTTTTATAGAAATCATACTGCGGGACTGTATTATCCACTGGCATTCCTAGTATCTGCCTCAAGTTCGTTGTACAGTTTCAGATGTTCTTTTCTGTGCGACTGACTGATCGGAGTTGTCCTGTGTGTCATTATTCGGGTTTCTATTTTAATATAGACATGTAGTGGTGGAAGGCTAAGCAGAACCTCAAGAGCTGCAGTTGGGATCGCTCTCATGGCTCCCGTGACAGCAATATAAAAGTGTCGTAGAATAAAGCACTCTTATGGGTGTGTTATGTCGATGAGTGTAGGCTGAGACTGCATATGCTGAACATGCCGGCATGCATCTGGTGTCAGGAACCTCCATACAAGTCACGCGACTACGGTAGACTATTTATGAAACCCTTCAGTTTCCGATTTCAACATACTCGGTTTGAGGAAAGCAAAGGTCAGGTGCTTTGATAAGCTGAGGTCTTCAATGTTGTTGAAGAAAAGCCCATGCATTGGGGCCTTCTTCAAAGAAAAGTAAATGAAACTTCAAAAATGCCTAAAAAGAGAAGCAAAGTTGGCAGTAGCAGGTTTGATGATGACTCCTGATAACTTAAATTTGGTTATGCAAACACTGAAGATGAGTTGGTTAAGGGTTTCGCGGCCGATATTTCAGTGTAACACTGACTGAAGATGAGATTTGGAAGTCCAGACCAGATTATAAAAACTGCTTCAGAAAATTAAACGATATCGGACTGTGGAAGAATATGATATAGAAAACCTCATTTCAGTGATGTACGAAGTCTAGTTTCAATCGTTGAATCTGTTGATTGTAAAATTATCTGAATAACCGTCAATTTATAAAAGAAATTATTCACAAGCTATCAAATACGCTTAAGCTTCAATCAGGAAAATGTGTTATAAAATCTGATAATAACAATAATTTGGAAGTTTTTGCTAGTTGGTTGTTGAACATAGTCTGCTTCCGAAAATAGAATAGGTACATAATCCCTAAGATGATGGGCGGAAAAGCTCAAATGCAGCAGCATAATGACTCACATGTTCATGTGAATAATAGCTCTTATTTGAAATTTATACCATCTAGTCACCTGAAACAATATATAACAACTAATCTATGGAATAGTGCCCCCCAAAGAAGAGTGGAATTTCCGAAAAAAAATCGATTAACAGCTGAAGCACTCAAACCGTTTTTACTTTGCCAATCATATACAGGGTGTCCCTGGACTTCCTCTTTTCCTCTCGGGAATGTATAGATGGGGTCAAAATATCACCAGTACTTCATATAACTTTTTTTCCTAAAATCCTTCGTTACCAAGTAACGGGCCCTCGAAGTTACAAAATGAAAAATGTTTTTCTTTGATAACTTTTCAAGTGAATATTCAAAATCATCCAAATTTTGG